TAAATATAGTGTATATAATTAATTTAAAACTGTCAAAATTGTGTATAAAATGTAGCAAATAATTTATAGTTTCTAGATTATTACATTTTTAATAATTTTTATTATTAAGTTAGAATAAAAATATACAAAATTCAATTTAAAAGAAATTGACGATAAAAATAAAATATATTTTTCAATAAATGATATAAAATCAAAAAAAAATTAAATGAAGATTCTTCTGGAATAAAAATTATTAATCAAGTTGAATAATCAAATTATATTTTCATAATTTGTAAATATATTACCATTTTTTTATATTATTGAACAATTTGATATTTTTATTTTTAATCTTATAGTATGAATTTTAATTGTATGTTGAATGAAATTTAATAAATATTCCTGAACCCAAAGCTCACAAATAGTATGAATCAAGAGATATTCAATATCTATCTTTATAAATATTGACTATCATAGCATATTTCAAGAGTAGAAATGATGAAAGTCATATGAGACCAAAAAGCATGTTTTTATTTAATATTATACACATACAAAGAACTTTTATTATTGTGATAATTTATTCTATTTATCCTAGACTAAAATATTATAAATTATATCTACTTGATGAGGATAAATTGAAAAATATTGATATTAAATAAAGATTATTTTGGGATTTGAATAGAATCGTAACCATAATATTATTTTATGAAATTAAATAAATAAATTGTTCATTCTTAATTTGTTTTTAATGCTATTTCTATCATTTAATTCCAATCGAATTAAGTGACTATTGCTACTTCAGATGTGTCCTCCTTTCGCATTTTGTCAATCCAATTCACTATCATAGCACCTTTTGCAAATCCATCTTCAACAATATGTACCCCTCTCATTAATGTTTAAGTTATTGTATCTGGTATCATTGCCATAACAATTGCCAATTCTAATAATAATATACAATATATTACCATCACATAAATAATAACAAGTTTCAAATAATACATTCTTATAGATATCATGAATCAACTTAGTTATTTTGTTGTATTGAACATTAAATATACTACCTCCAACATCCTTATCTAAAGAATATGACAATACAGTATCAAATGGTAATATTATTTTATTCTTAAACTCTGCTCTTAATACCATTTTGGTTGCTAATATATCTGTAGCTATATTAAATTCAGCTATTCCATTTACCTGATTTCCAATTCCCATATATGTTCCACACATACAAAACAAACATCCTAATTAATTCACAATCTAAGGATGCTGAATCAAAGTAATATAGATATTTGTCAATGGTCCTATACAAATTATACATAACTAATCTTCATATTTTTAAATGCTTTCTTTTATAAAATCTACTGCATGTTTATTTTCATATAATTATTCATTTTCATTTATATTTAGTTCTTGTAAATATTATTTTTAAACTCCTCCAAAGCCATCCTCTTTGAAAAAGAAGTCTCTGTGAAAAGTTCTCATACTATCATATTCACATCCTTTATATATTTTTGGAGGTTATTCAAAATGACAATAGCGTGATGTTATATACACATTTTTAACTACATTATACAAACTAGCGTTCCCAGAAACACAAGTTATTCCTAATAATTCTGCATCTTTTCTTATGTATTTTAATATATATGATGCCATCATGATAGCATGAGCATCATCACCTCCAGCATCAGTATCAATAATAAATTTTGTATATTTATTGAACTACTTTACATCATTTCCTAATAGCATACCAGGGATTTTAAAATTAGTTGTACAACTCATAAGATAAATAATAAATATTTTGATTAATAATAAAGAATTTTAATTAAAATCACTATTGTCTAAAATTGAAACTTGATGTTTTATGTTTTCCAGGAGATATTATAGGCAATAAATTAGGAGAAGAAATCTTCTTTGTACTATTAACCTTTGCAATAAGAAAATTATCACTTAATCTCTAAGCAAGATTTAAATGAGCTAATTCATATTAGATTATATACTTAAAAGCTTTTTTGATGTCTAAAGTTTATTTTTTAGCTATGTTAGATCTTGATGGGATGTAGTCTTCATTAATTTAATTGAAGGTTTTCTATCAATTCTCGTAGTATGTCTATGTAAACGATATTATCTATCATTTCCGCTAGGAATCATTTATTCTGTATGAATTCTACTTGATAATGGTTATTATATTTCATCTTCATCATCTAATTCATTTATTTCATCAGATGCCTATGTTTTCATATAATAAATATTATCAGAACATTAGTCTTTAATATTTTTGAGAATCCATAAAGCTTTGACTATCTAAAAATTAATAATTAATTTAACATTATTAAATTTTTCAGTAAATGAATATCTTAATTTAATTTCTCTATTAGTGATAGGATGTGATTTTCTTTGTTCCCCCAGTATCCAAGGATGTTCTAAACATTATTCAGCAGTCATTCTGTTGATAGATTGGAATGTCACAGTATTTTATACAAAATCTTTAGCCATTCTATATAATTTAATGGTTTAAATTACTCTGACATTTTGGAAGGATATTAAATCTAGAATTCAGATGAAATAGCTTTATAATAGTCCTTCTTAGTATATCCATTTTGCCATAAAGGATGTAAAGAATTATTGATCAATTAATAAAATATTATTCCTAAAGAGAAGATATCAACTAACTAATTTAGATTTTGATAAATACTTGTGATTACTCTTATTAATTAATGACTTCTGGTGCAATATAATAAGGAGTACCAACTTATTAGCCAATAAAAGCCCTTGAAAACATTTAATAACCTAATCCTAAATCAATTAATTTAACATAATAGTTGTCACAGATGAAAATATTTTCTACTTAATTGTATATTTTATACCTGGCTTAAGATCTCTATGAATGATACCTTTTCTATGAAGAAAAACAAGAGCATTCAATATTTATAACATTATGTTTCTTATTAAAGTTTCATTGAGTACAGAACTTTTCATTAGCACATCTAATGTAATTCCTACTAGTTTTTCCATAATTAAATAGACTCGATTATTAGCTATTAAGACCTAATAAAAAATAAATAGAAAGTCTACTTTATATAATTTAACAATATTTGGATGAGAGCATTCTTGTAATAAAGATGACTCATTCTCTTATTCGAAGTATTAGGTTATCTAGTAGTTAAATTAAAGTATACTTTTATAGCTACTACTTTATTTAATGATGAACTATAAGCAGCAACAACTATTCCAAAACTGCCTTTACCTAATATATCAATGTAGGTAAAAAAATCACCAAGAAATACTTCATTTAAATTATCTATTAACTCTTGAGGATTCATAATTTTGTATTTTAATATCAAAAAATAATTTATAGTTTATTCATTTATATGTATTCAATTAACAAATGTATACTACTCCTTCTCCACCTCCAAATGCAAATTTATTTGATTTATTTCCGTAATCGACACAATATATACCTTATAAATTAATATTTGATATTAACCTTCTTATAAATCACGTATCCATCCACTAACTTCATAATTTTGATTTATATCAAATAATTTCACTTCTTAATTACCACTACTACCTGCCAATATAGTATCACTATTTATTTTACTATATTAACAAGAGTAAATATAAGAATTATCTGAATCAGTACTATCCCATTTGATATTTGTAATCAAACTTCTTTTACCAAAATCCCAAAGTTGTAATTAATTATTTGTTCTATAAGAACCAGTAAGAATTTAACCATTCCTTAATTTAATTATTCATCATATTTTACCTAAAATCTATACTATCTCCAGATACATTAGGTCCTTAAATAGATCCAACACTTCTTTTATCTCTAAGATCCCAAATTACTAGATTACCATCCCAACCACAAGAAAGAAGAGTGCTTGGGAATTCCTCTAAGAATTTTAAAGAGAACACCCTATTCAAATGTCCAATTTAATTACTTAAAATATTTATAATATCTTACTAATCAGCTGAATCAAATATATGAATAATTTCTTTTTTTTCCTCATCATAAATTCGGATCTAATAAATATTTTTTATTTAATACTTTACAATCTTTTCCAGAAGTAGCAAATACTTCACCATCTATTCTTAAATCCATACATAATATTTAATTATTCTTTTCTATCATTCTATGCAATTATTTTCCTGTCTAAGCTTACCAAAACATTATTGATCCATCAGAATTCACATTTATCACTACATTTTTAACTTTATTTCCACTATCCTTTCTCCATCTAATACTTGTTGTTGGAGTTGATCCTTCAGATGATCCTTATAAATTAAATGCTAATTTCCCTAACAAATATTAACATTATAACTCACCTGTGGCTATATTAAAAATTTTCACTGTCCCATCAGAACAACCTAAATTTATCATTTTTCATACCTGCTGCTATTAGTTAATCTTCATAATCAAATCGAATACAAAATATTTCAAACTCTGGATTACCAAAAAATGTTTTTAGTGAAATATTTCTTATCTAATTTTGTACATCACCAAACCTTAAAATTAACCTAAATCATTACTTTAGTTATCCATAACAATAATGATCATTCTTCTTTCCACTTTTCTTTTTATTTAAATCCATAAAAGAATGAGATTCTTACTATTTGTATTTAATATCCATTATAGATGATATATGTAATTAAATACAAATTTAAAATTTGCTGAACATTTATATACATGATATTATTCTTTCTGGATTAATTAGATACATTCCAAAATACCAAATATATTTTTGTATCAAAAGAATTAAAAGAATTGAGAGAAAAAAATTAAACATTTTTTAGAGAATAACATAAATAAAATAAAATTTTAATTGGAGAATTCAGATTAACAATTTATTATCTAACTAGCTAATTATAATTGAGAAGGCTTGCAATGGAGTGAATGGGTAAGTAACATCAATATTTAAGATTTTATCATTAAATTTTCCAAACTAAATTGCAACATTTTTGGTTAATTTACCATCATCTGTTAATTATTTTAATAAAAAATTATGAACAGATGCGCTGTTTACTCTAGAATTAAATGGAAGTGTAAATTATTAATATTTATCACTCCAAATTGGTTGTTAAGTTTGGAATTCGAAATATTCTTCATTTCGTTTTTTAGAAAATCTACTCTTGATTTTTAAACCTGTATTTTCATCTATAGGAATAATTTTGTGAGGTTGATCATTTATAAAGGAAGGAATGTACGCTTTAAACATATTTCCTTTAAAATTAATATTATATAATTACTTCTAGTTTTTAATAGCTAGTATTCATAATTTATATATGCTAATTCTGTTCTTAAGGCTTTTTTATCATTTGAATTCTTGTAAGAAAGTCCATTTGAATACAAAATAAATTCTGTACCTGTAAAATTAGACCTAAATTAAAATATTTAATATTACTCTAATGTTCCAACAATATCAAGATTATTTTCTGATTTACTCAACTAAAATTAATTACTGCCTGAACATAATGATTTTCTAGCAGAGAGTAAAAGTTTTTGAGTCTTTGAATGATAGAAATTATATTTAATATGGCGACCAAACCATCCTTTTATAATTTTCACATCACATTCAAGAGTAGTACCCAAAGGGATTGTAGTGTTTAAAAATTGATTAGTGTTTTTAGGTATAAGTTCACTTTTAGAAAGTGATGGTGGTTGACTTTAAGAGACCAAAGTTGGTATTCTTTATTCAGATGAATTATCAAACTCATGAACATCAGTTATGATATTTTATTTGGTTATATCATCATGATTATCTATTATTATATCTGACATTTTGAATAGCAAAAGATTTTTAATAAAAATTATCAAATATGATTATCTTAGATTTATAACCAGAATATAAATACAAAAATGACCTAACAATCTCAAAATATAAAATATTTTAAGGAATCATAATAATTGCAATTTTGATTTAAGAAATAGATAATTACTTCATTTTTGAAACAAGTATTAGATTATAAATGTAAAATAATATATATTTAGATGCAAAATTATTATAATTTACCTTTATCTCCAAGATAATTTGTAAATCAAAGCAACAACAACTTTAATCAATCTCCAAGACATTATACTTAAGTTCCTATTTCTTTAATGTAATAATAAGCTTAAGTTGTTGATTTAAAATAGTATGAATAAAAATGGATGAAAAAAATATAAGAATTAGAAGAAGAATTGTCTTATTGTTAATAAAAGGCTTCATATTTAGAAAAAGAATATGTACGCTAATACACTATGATAGGAAAATTTGGCTTATGAATCTTAATGCTATAAAGAAGAAATTAAAAAATTAAAATCAAATCTATATCAATATGATAAATTAGATTTTATTAATCAAATGAATAGAACTTAAGAAAATAATACCATTAATTCAATATTAGATTGTAATAGAAAACTAGAAGAAAAAGAAGAAAATTTGAAGGATTAAATAATTGAATTATAAAAAGTTATTATAATGCTCCAAAAAGAATCATCTTAGAATAAAATAGAGGCAATTAAATGGAAGAACAAATATATTGAAATTAATAAATTATACAACGATTTATAAATAGAAAAATAGAAACCATGATATTTAAGTATTTTTGTGAAATTTTTATAAATAATTAATCCATATCATGATTCTAATATTGTTTTGGACTAACTTTTAATATTTAATAAATCTAGATTCATTTATAATAAACTATGTTTTTAGGTTAATTATTTCACTTTAAATTAAAAAGTATACTTAGATTAAACAAAGTCCTATAATTTCCATTTTAAATAATAATTAAGTCTATTAATTATGTTTGGATAATTTCCTAAAGGAAAATAGATTTTATAAAGAAACATCGTCTCAAAATCTTCAGGTTTTAAATCTTCCCTTTTATACATGCTTAAATCTACCATTCCTGGAGTTGTAGGAAAATTTCCAAATGATCTTGTAAATGGATTACTAGTTTTATTATAAGTTCTTGTTCCAGTTATAAAATTTATAGATGATATTTTTGATGAAATTCTTTTCATAGATGGTCTTAATTATGTATTCCGAGATGGCAATGAATTATTACTTTATCTATAAAAATATCTTAAATTTTAAGAACTTTGTTATTCATCTGAATTATAACGATTTGATAAATTTAAAGTGTCAGAATCTTCTTCTCTTATTCTTGATAAATTCTTTTTCATCTTATTATCAACATTAATGTGACTAGATATTTTATTTTATGATCCATGTTTTAATTTGTCACTATATTCACCTTTAAATGCAATTTAAGAATTATGTTTTGATCCCTTTACAGTAGGAATTTATCCTTCTGTTGCTATATTTTAAGATGATGCCTATTCTAATTGAGAAGAAGATTGTTTTCTTGTCTTAGGATCCATTGGTATTAATGAAAATCTATATGATTATTGATTTAATTGTTATTATTGTTATAATATTTATTATTATTATTGTAATTATTATTATTATTAGTATTATTATTATTATTACTATTCAAATTAAAATTAAGCAGTGCTTAATGTTGTTTTTTAATTATTTGGTCTAATAATAAACATTTCTTCAATGTTATCATCAACTTCTAATAATATTTTAGAATTATCTCTTAATTGATCTTACTATTTAATTATACTAACAATTGTACTAGTATTTAATATATAAATACCCATCTTATTTATCGATAAATCTATTATCAGATAATATTTAATCTGATTGATATTATTCATAAGATTCTCCTGAATCCGAATCAGATTCAATATCTTCAGACTCTATTATTTCATTACTTTTCGAGTATAAATCATTTGGATCAATAAGATCGTATTTTAATCGAAACATTTTCATTGCATCAAAATTTATCTATTATTAAGTTTATTTTTATACTAAAATTCTTTTAAAAGTTCTATTAAAAGCTCTTTAATCAATATTCTTATCTCTAAGAAATTAACCTCTATTTTGAGAATGAAAATTATCATGTTTAAATATCTTTTCAATATCTGGTTTATAATTCAAAATTGGACAATTATTAATTAAATGTGTTTATGAATCACAAGAATAACATTTTAAATTAATTATATTAAAATATCCATATTAGATTGAATGTTTAATATACATAAATCTTTCGTGATCTACTTTATTTGATAATATGATATTTATAAAATCAGATTATTTAATTTTATAAAGTTAAGTAAATTCTAAAGTTTTATAAATTGTTTTATTTAAAATTCCTGAGAAAAAATATGTTTCTCCAAAAGAATCTCCTAATTTTAAAATATGCAATCTCTATTCATATTCTTAAACTTCTATTTCTCCAGAATCAATCAAATATAAAGATTAATCTTATTAAGATATTATTTCATTTGGATTATAATGAATACGCTCCATATATTTAGTTAATTACTAAAGGGAATCTTTAGAGAATTTTTATAATATTTTGCTATAAGACAAAGCTTGTAATCTTATCTAAAATATTAATTCTTCTTTCATGTCAGGTCTTAAGGATTAAAGTATAGTTTAAATCTTATCTATATTTACCATCTGATAAATACCTCGTAATCATTTTTTTTATTATAAAACATATATTTAATATAATTTCTCACTTTAGCTTTCATTAGTAGAGGCACATTTCTCTTATTTAAAAAGGCATTTATGGTTTCCAAATCTTTACTAAAAATAATTTAAATAAATACAATAATTAAAGTTATTATTCATAAAAGGGTTTTAAATTTTAATTCAATTTTAATATTATTAAACTACATATCCAAACTGACAGAAATGTTAAAATACTTGAAAAAATCAATTCTGTATTAGTATTTAAGGTTATATTATTAGAGCCATTTAATAATTAGGATATTGAATAATAGAATGAATGGCAATATCTTGTAATGTTATCTGATTCATGTAATTGATATTGATATATCCATGAATTATCATTATTTATGGCTAATATATGCCAAATACACGAACTTAAATGGATTAAATATAATAATTAAGTTATGTTTATAATGAGTTAAAAATTTAAGGAGGTGTAATCAGATAATTTATTTAGGATTGAATTTAGTTTAAGTAATGATGAAATAAATTAAAAGGCGTATAAAATGAGCATAATTTCATCATTATTATTTTATATGAGTAAAACTATAGTTGTAATAGAATATATTAGATTGATTAATAAATTGCATGGGATTTGATGTTTAAGGATTTCAAATTTATTGAATATCCTGTTTCCTTTTAAAATATATGGAGAAATTAAATAAATGAATAAATCAAGTATAATAAATAACATGAATAGGATTTATGTTAATTGTTAATTCTGAGTATGAAATGTAATTTTATAGATTAACCAAAAGATTAAAATGATAGTGAATATTAATGTGAGTAGATCCCAAATAATATAAAATAAGAAATTAAGTATAAATAGATTCTAATGATTAGTATTTAAATCATGTGGTGATATGATATATTTTTCAGTTAATATCTATTTTTATAATGAATTAAAAAAATAGTCATTATAAATGTATGCTTTTTGTTTAAGAAGAGTGATAAATTTATGTATAATTTTTTAGTCTAATATTTCTTTATTGATAAAAGGTGATGAGAATACAAACATCTTAAACTTATTAAAATTACTTTTTTTCATTTTTTTAGTTTCAGTTTCATCTATAAGTTTGAGTTCAGGAGTGTCAGTTTGATTTGGTCTGAAGATATCAATTTATCTATGAATATTCTAATAATATAATATTAAAATACAGGATCAGAAAAAGAATTAGGATTACTAAGTAGAGATGAATTAATAGTAGGTGGTTTGAGATCTGATGGAAATTATAATGATTAAGGCATTTATGAACATGATATTCTTTAGGATCTAATTTTATGATCACTTTCAAATGATAAATTAATCATAATAATTATATAATAATAATCATTTTTATTTTCTTTTAGCTAATTTAAGAATAATCTTAGCATTTTCATTGCCTGTAGCTTTAACCATTTAAGCAAATTCAGTATTTTTAGTTATTTAATTGTCATCATAAGAATTACATAATAACATTAATGGTGTATCATATTCAATAATTTAACCATCTTACATAACCATAACATAATCATAATCTGCAATAGTATTTAATCTATGTGCAATTGTTATAATAGTAGCATCAAATTTACTAATAACCAATTAAATTAGATCATCTGTCTTTTAATCTAAATTAGCAGTTGCTTCATCCAAAACTATAATCTTTTTTTTAGTTAAAATAATTCTAACCAAACATATCAATTACTTTTAACCAACTGAAAATATTGAATTAACTTAAGTCATATCTGAATCTAATTATTTTGGTAATTTCTTTATATATTCATCTAATGATGTTTATTGTAAGGCATCCCATAATTCTTAATCAGAATATTAATTTAAAGGATCTAAGTTTCTTCTAATACTGCCACTAAATAAAAATGGACTTTATGGTATTATACCTATTGAAGATCTTAATTAGTGTAAACCTAATTTTTATATATTAATATTATCTATAATAATTTATCCTTTCTCTATTTCTGACATTCTAAACATCGCTTATAATATAGAAGATTTTCCAGCTCCAGTTCTTCCTATTATACCAATCCTTTTCTTTTATGGAATTTCAAAATTTATTCCTTTTAATATCAAAGGAGTATTATATCTATATCTCAATTCTACTTATTCAAATTTTACATCACCAACTGTAGGCCAATTTTATACCCATTCAAGATATTAAGGAGCTTCTGATTTTAAATCTATTATTTCATACATTCTTTAACATGATGACATCATTGCATGTACTTAAATCATCTATCTCATACACCATTAAAATTAATCATTAAATATTGTTAATATTAATAATGCTTATGAAAATATTGATTTATTATCATAAACACCTATTACTATCATTGTACCTATTACTGATGCAAACCATCCAGATAAATGAACTTTATATCCAAAATTTGTTGAACATTAATAAAATGTGAAATTTGATCTTACACAATTATTTGATAATTAATTAAAAAACTATTTAAAATATTACTATTGCTTATATAATTTAATCTATACTATTCCATTTAAAGTATTCTTAAAAAAATCAAATAAAGGACTCTTTTAAATTGAATCACATTCTTTTGTCTCTATTATTATTTTATAAGATCTCTTCAAAATATAAATTTAAAAACATATTATGAATAACATTACAATTACAAAATATGGAAGTATTGATATTAGAAATGCTATAGATACCAAAAAAAAAGAGTTTAATTCAAATACTTCCCATAAAGATAAATTCATCGTAAAATCACATAAACTTTTATCGTTTGAAAATCTATTAAGAATTCTACCTGATGGATTTGTATCAAAATATGAAATGGGACATTAACTTAAAGATGTTATCATCTAATCATGAGTTTATTTTGTACCTGATAATATACTAAAAGTAGTCATTCCATATTTAATTAAATTTAATGCCAAAGCTCCAATACATAACATTCCAATTAATAAATAAAATGAAGTTTAATCTTCATACTCAGAAATAAAATATATATATAATTAAAGTAATACTTCCTAACCAAGATAAAATAATATCATAAAGATTAATAAAGCTGGACATGACCATAAATTGATAAATCGTTTATAGGTATCAAAAGTAACTGGTTTAGATGTTAATTCTTCTTTTTTATATAAATCATTATCTTATTTAGTTACATTATTTTTATATTAAACTTATTCTTCTTGTTATTAGAATGTATCAGTAATTAAATTTAAATGTTAATTTACATCTTTAAATTCTCCACTTGCCATAATCTATCCTTCATTCATAATAATAATTTAATCACATTCTGGAGCAAATTAAACTTAATGAGTTACTAAAATAATAATTTTATTTTTAGATAATAATTTAAGATTATTAAAAATAGATCTAGATACTTTAGCATCAACAGCTGATAATGGATCATCTAATAAATATATTTCTGCATCTTCATATAATGCTCTTGCTAAACTTAATCTTGCTTTCTATCCTCCTGATAAAGTGAGTCCTTTTTCTCCAATCATAGTACTATCTCCTTTTTCCATATTTTATAAATCCATAATTAAATTTGATTATTCTAATACTTATTAATATAAACATTCATCCATCATTCTTCCAAATAAAATATTCTCTTTAAAACTTGCTGGAAATATAAATGGTTCTTATTCAACATAACCAATCTTACTATTTTTAATATCTTATCCATCAAATAATATAGAACCCTTTGTTTTTGGCATTTCACCAATTATTGCATTTAATAATGATGATTTTCCAGATCCTATCTTTCCTATTACAGCATATAAACCTCTATTAAATTTAAATGATAATCTAATCTATGGTTATCCATTTACATTCCAATATCCTTCTAAATTTTATAATATTAATCCATCTTCTTTTTATTAATTATCTAATATTTCATAACTTTATTAAATTTCTTCCATTGATAATACTACCCTCATTCTCTCTAATACTATTTTTAAATTAGCTAAAAAATCTAATCCAAATGATGATAAACTAACACAAAAAAATCTAGCAAAAGCAGCTAATTATAATGTTGATAACATTATTGATACATTAATTTGATAAAATCCTCCATAATGCATAATCATAAAGAAGATTGCACTTGCCCACATTTAACTAAAAAATGTTGTACCTCTCAATATTACATATTAAAGATGTGTCAAAATATATGCAAAATGTTCTTAATGTGCTAAATTTCTAATTATTTTTATAAATGATTATTCCCATGCATACATTTTAATTAATCTTATACCTTCAATTAATTCATTTGTTAATTTAACTCTTTAATCTGCATATTCTTTTGTTTTCTTAATTAATATAGTAATTCTATGAGTAAAAAATAATTATATTGGATATGCTAAAAATAATAATGCTAATAATAACAACCCTTAAGGACCATCAAATCTTATCCATAAAATAGCAGCTGTCAATCCTAATGATATTGGCAAATTGAATACTACAAACATATAAATCAAAAATGGCTCTAATAAATTTAAATCTGCTGATATCATATTTATTATTTTTCCTTAATTAGTATTTTTTATTTAATATGTGTGTAATTTGAATATTTTATGATATAATATATTTGCCATACTCATTCTTACTATTGTAGAATATTCATATCCTATAGAATAGAATTAATGTTAACACACTATTGATAATCCATTCAACAATACCAAACCTATACCATAAGCATATTTTATTGGCAACTCTTAATATATTGAATCTATCAATGTTGATAACAATATTGATATTCCACATTTTGATATAGAAAATATTGCTAATACAAATAATATTAGAAAGAATTTCCATTTTTATTATAAGAAAAACAATTTAAAAAGAGACATTTTTGTTATTTCTGAAGATTTTTAATCTAAAAGATTCTCTAACTTTTCAACTTCTATCTTCTAACTCTCTTATAATGGAGGTGTATGTGAAAAATTGAATTTAATATCCTTTCCTACTATTTCACTATATAAACTATTCATGTAATCTTAAACATTTAATAAAAACACTCTCTTTAAAATGTTAGTTTCTGCATTCAAAGGTTTTGGATAGAATTCTTCCTCATTAAGAATAGTGTTAAGATTTGAAGTATCCAATTTTATTGTTTCTTCATTCTTTTACATTTTTTATTATATTAATTATTATGAAAAATTTTATTTATTCAGAATTTGGCACTAATTAAATTTATTAATAAATTTTAATTTTATGCTAAATTTTAAAATCCCTTATTCTAATGATATTTTCATATTATGAAAATTTTATGAAACCTGAAGTCTTTAAGAATTTCAGAATTTATTCTAGTGATACTAAAAATAATCATTACTTATTACTGTTTAAATGTTAAATATTGATATAAGTGTATTTCAGAAAATTTAGTTTACTTATTAAAATATATTAGCTCTAAAATAGAGCTATTTCAAACAGATGAATATCAAAAATATTTATTTTTAATTTATTTTCTTACTAAATTCATGCTTCATTATTAATTGAATTAAATATGTTAGCAATTTTAACATTCACTTTGATAAGATAATTTTAATTATTATATATTTATCATCTCTACTTTTGGTTGTTTTATATTTGATAGATGGAAGTAGAAGACTATTATGTATCTGTGAGTAATATTTAGATATAATATAAAACTTTAAACAAAAATATAATTCCATTATTGTTTGAATTTCTAAGTACTTTAAATAAATACTACTATTAAATTGATGAATATCTATATATGTATATAAAGAGATAAGTATTAAGTGTTGTAAGTTGAATTATTAAAGAAAAAACATACGTAAAAGAAGGTGAAAATCCTTAATGATGAGAATCAACCTCTAAATTCATAATGTGTAAATATTATTTATAATGTTATATATATTATTATATATTTATGGACATTCCTTTAAAATGCATTTCATTCAGTTCAAATTGGTTTTATTCATAGATTGCTTAAATGAATCATTATTTATTATTTTATAGAGTTAATGATTCAGTGTTTGTCTGCAATAATGAAAATAAACACTTCAAATATACATTGCAATGATAATAAAAAGTAACAATTGTTATAATTAAAAAATTAATACATTCTTGTTGCTTAAGAGGGTGGTGTTATAACTAACTATCTTTGAACAATAAAAGTATTTGGGTAAACTTGAATTTAACATTACAAATTACAACAATTTTAAAAAGAAATTAGTAATTAATATTATTTGACATATGACAATAAAGGAATATAATAAATATGAATTGATTCAATTTGAATTAAAATTGATAACAAAACCTGATTGTATTCCAAAATGGGAAAATCAAAATATTATCAATTATTAAAGTACCAAATGTATAGATTTTTATAGAAATAAGATTTTAATTATCCTAATCATATTTTATGTATTGATATTTAAAGTTAATATGGAATCTTAAATAAATTACAGAAAACAATTAGTTTACTTATATTTCAATTAGTTTAAATAGATTAATAATATTAATTAACTTAATTAATGATAATCATATCTTTATTTAATTAAAATTAATTGTTAATAATAAATGACAACTGACAATCTTAATAAAGTATCAATCACATTAAATTTTTGGACAATAATTAAGGAGGAGATATTGATAAAAAAATGAATTAGAAGATATTTATAAAGAATAATTATTTGACAAATTTGTTTTTAAAGATCCATCACCAAAGTTGAATAGCTTAATCTAATTAATATTATTGTATTAGCCTAGAAAATGGGTATTAAATTTATTAGAATTATTTGGTGTTTAATTTTAAAATATAAGGCATAATGACATGATTACAAAACCTCATCAATCTTTTTTATCATGGTTACTGGTAGAATTCCAATAATTGAATTATCAACAGAATAAGTGCACTTTAATTTTTTGATTAAATAAAGGATTAAATTATAATTGCTTATTTCTAATAAAATATTTGATATCATTATAATCAAATAGTATTCGATTTTTATTTAACAATGAAAATGCTTTTGTATTTTATATTTAATGGATATCCTGTGTTCTTTTATAAGAAATATCATTATGATACTAAGTAAATTCATAATATAGATATAAACTGCATCATAATAGTATATAATTTGATAAAAGCATTTGTAATTTAATAATATAATAGCAATATATATATTAAGCCAGTGGTTGCAATAATCAAACTATACTCAAGAATATAATCCATGATGAAATTGTATTATTGGTCTATTTAAAAGATTGTTTTCCAAATTAAAATAGAATAACAAGATGGATTAATCACAGCTCTAACAAAATTTGATTAATCATTACAAATTTAGAATGTCTATGAAATCTTATAAAGATTGATACTTAATATATAAACTTTAGAAGAATTGGATAAAGCAAATATTAGAAGTCATAGTGGTTTTTTATTGGATTTTTTGTATTTGATAAATAATTTAATTATTAGAAGTACAATAATAGATTTTATTTTAGGTTTTAAGGATTATATTTGAGATTGAAAATAAAGTACC